GGAATCAGGTTTTTGTGAGCACAGGGCGTCCAACTCCACATTCAAAAGCCGTGGCTGTGTGATTCCAGTTCTGCAGCATACCTCCTCCTGCCCTCTCCCTGCTTCTTCTCCTCACATGGAATGCCTATTGGAGAGCCTTTTTCCAAGTGCAGCTTAGGGAGTTTAACCCCTTGTTTCCTCGGGAGTGAGGAATACTCAGTGAGTTATGTGTGTCATGCAAACTTCACCTTAAGTACAGCTTGAAAGGTGAGAGACATTGTTCATCTGGGTGTGTTGGCTTGGATATCATTACAACTTCTGTGGCCCCACCCAAATTTGACATTGCTGGTTAGGCAGGAACTTAGTTATTTAAAAAAGAACTAAAAATCAGCTTTTAATTTTAAAACTAGTTCATAATTCTTGAGCCAATATTTTGGCAGGAAAATGGGATAACAAAACAGCAGTGTGTTTGTCCAGATCTTTCTAAAGAATAGTAAACAAGGCCTTTCACACGAGTGGAAAAGAAAACTGGATTAGATCCTTTAGAGGGTTTAGTGAAAAGCAGAATGCCCATGGGAGGGGTTGGGTTTAAAACCCCTTTCAGAAGGCCTAGGGGGAGAGGGAGGGAGGAAGACACTGACCATTTGATCTCAAAACCCCTTTAGAAGACCTAGGGAGGGAAGACACCACTGGATTTTAAAACCCCTCTCAGAAGGCGGAGGGAGGGAGGACACTGCCCAGCTCAGTGGCACAGTGGATTCTGAAGCTATTTTAAGCATTGCACAAGGAGTCAGGGAATGTATTGGACTGGGAGGATCCATGGGGATGAGGACACCAATTGGTCACTCACCAGTACCTGCAGCACTGGATGCAAGTGGCACCTGTGTGGTTTTATGTGGAACTGCCTGGGGGTGTGCTGCTGCCCAGAAGAGTTTCCAAGAATGGAATTACAGGATCATTTGGGCAGGAAAAGACCTCCAGGATTGATTCCAGCCTTCAGAACAGCACAGGGACCTAGGGTGCAGTGAGGTGATACTGAGTTTAGGTGTGCAAAATAAAACCACTTGTTTTACCTAAAATACACCTTTGAGAGGGGGGAAAAAAAAGCAGTGAGGCAACTTTGTTTACTTCGATCCTTGTTTGAAAGTTGCCCCTGTCTTTGCAGCATGGATTACTAATGCTTTCAAACACAGTTTGGTTGAAATTCTGTGTAAAAATGTGACTAAGAGGAATCAGATGTTCCTCAGTGACTGCTTTATGGAGGTGAAGTCAATTGGATCATCTAGAAACAAACTCCAATTGCAGCTTCTCCTGAGCACTGTTGAGGGTTGGTTCTGCCCTGGGATGTGCTGCTGCCCAGAATAGTTTCCAGGAATGGAATCACAGGATAATTGAAGTTGGAAAAGACCTCCAAGAGCAAGTCCAATATTTAGAACAGCACGGGGACTTAGAGTCCAGTGAGGTGATGCTCAGTTTGGGTAGTTTGTTACCTGAAATACTCCTTTGAGAGGTAAAAAAGCAGTAGCACAACATTGCTTACTTCCATCCTTGTTTGAAAGTTGCTCCTGCCATTCCAGCATGGATTGCTAATATTTTCAGACACAGTTTGGTTGAAATCCTGTGTAAAAGTGTGACTAAGAGGAGTCAGATGCCCTTCAGTGACTTCTGTATGGAGGTGAAGTCACTCAGATTGTCTAGAAACGACCTCCAATTCCCCTGAGCGCTGCTGGGGGTTGGTATCTCTCCTGGAGCAGCTCCCCATTCCGTTGATGTGTTTGCCTGTTGTTTCAGGGATAAGAAGGATTGGCAGGAGGCCTGACCAGCAGCAGCAGCAGCAAGGGGAGGGCAAACCCATCGACAGGCGACCAGAACGACGACCTCCGCGTGAGCGCCGCTTTGAGAAGCCCAGCGAGGACAAGGGAGAGGGGGGAGAGTTCTCCGTGGATAAGTAAGAGTTTGCCTTGCTGGATAAACAGCTTTCCTGGCTCTGAGGGAATGGGGCTGTCTTGGTTTGTGCTGCTGAGTTAAAAAGCTGATTGAATCAAAGTTAAATGATGAGGTTTATGCCAGGCACAAGAGCACATCTCATGCACTTGTAACCCTCTTCCATGCTGTCATTTACAAACTCAGCTGTGAGTGATCTAACCTGAACAGCTTTGCGGGTGTACCTGAAATTATGGTTGAAATCAAGATATCCATCATATCTCTGTAAATCTGGACCAGAGAGCTCAGGAAGGGAATTCAAGTGTAGCTGTTACCTGCAGGAGATGAGAACTGTTGCTGTTAGAGCTGTGGCTTTAATCTGTACAGTGGAATTGAAGCCCACAAAAGTTTGTCCATGGAGCTGTTTACACCTTGGCTCAGACCTGGAAGTGCTGAAGCCATTTTAGGTCTATGTGAAGCTTAAAGTGTCTCAAGTATTATGAGGGATAAAGAATGTTCAAATTGCAAAAGTTTTAGTAGCCAAATTGAAAACCCCTTTAAAATTTGGACAAATGCGAGTTAAATTCAAACTGTAATATCAGCTAGTTATGTAATGCAATGCAAACACTCAGTTTGGGGATTTAGTGCCAAAAGATGCAAATAAACAGTGTTACTGATCAAATAAATAGTATCCCTGGGCAAATAAACTGTCCCCTGAGCATTTGTTTCCAGATTCTAAAAATCATAGAATCATAGAATTGTTTGGCGGTGGGGAAATGGGTTTAAAGCCTCCCCCAGTCCCACCCCCTGCCATGGGCAGGGGCACCTTCCATTAGCCCAGGTTGTGCCCTAGCCCTGGCCAACCTGGCCTTGAGCTTTCTAGGGATGGAGCAGCCAGAGCTGCTCTGGGTAACCCATGCCAGAAGCACAGAATCATGGAATGTTTTGGGCTGGGAGGAACCTTTAAAGGTCATCTCATTCCACCCCCTGCTGTGGGCAGGGACGCCTTCCACTAGCCCAGGGTGCTTCAACCCCTGTCCAGCCTGGCCTCGAGTACTTGCAGGGATGAGGATTGTAAGTGGCTTTGTTGACTCTACGTCGTGGCCTCATACTAGCCCCTGTGAAGAAAGTTAACTCTACTTCAGCTCAAACCAGCACTCTCTAGAAGCTCAGCCCAGTCCCAAACAGTGATTACTGAAACAAAAACAAGTCAAGAAAACTCTGAACCAGAGAGCTCTTAAAACCATGCTGTAAGTTTGTGGTGGTTGAAGCCTTATGTGTGGCTGTTCCATGCCAGACCCATCCTGGACCGACCCATGCGTGGCCGTGGCGGGCTGGGCCGAGGCCGTGGCCGTGGCCGTGGGATGGGCAGAGGCGACGGCTTCGACTCCCGTGGCAAACGCGAGTTCGACAGACACAGCGGCAGCGATAGATCGTAAGTCTTTACCTTTTACTGTCATCTTCAGCTGTTCCTTCACATTTCTACCACAACTCACTATTGCTCTTTGAAATTCTGTGCCTGGACACTATAATGTTAACTCAGTTTTGTTAGTTCTGTTTCACATTCCCATTTCAGCGGCCTAAAGCACGAGGACAAGCGCGGTGGCAGCGGCTCACACAACTGGGGAACTGTCAAAGATGAGCTAACGTGAGTCACCTCTCTTTGCCTCCAAAACTACCAGCCCATTGCTCGTAAATCCTCATTTGATGCACACATTTACCTGCTTTTTGCCTTTGATTTTGACAATTGTCCCCCACAGTTTGGCAGAATTTAAAATGAGCAATTTATTGTGATGTAAGAACTGTTGAACCTGAGTTTTGGGCAAGATTGGGAAGTGAAGTCTTGTGTTGATTTGTGAACTTTGATTAAAAACAGAGCAGTTTAATTTTAGCATTTTGATCAGGTTAAACATGCTTTTTCTTTTACAAATACCAATATTACATTTGAATCACTTTTAATCCTCAAATCCATCTTGTGTCTGAAGGGACAGTGTGAGGCAGTCAGGAGGGACACTGGGAAGTGGTAGGGGAAGCTATTGGGTGAAAAGAATGGGATTTAAATGGTACAGAGAGCAGCAATTCCTAATGAGTCAGTTAATCCACTCTAGATCTTGAAAATCTAAAGCTTGTGGAGCTTTAAAGAGGGGATGAACTTGTGTCCATCTTGTGTCTGAAGGCACAGCGTGAGACATTCGGGAGGGACACTGGGAAATGGTGTGGAAAGTTATTGGGTGCAAATCATAGGTTTAAAAGGCACAGAGAGCACCAGTCCTCAGTGAATCAGTAAATCCACTCTAGATCTTGATTGTTAATCTCATGGAGCTTTAAAGAAGAGATGAATTTGTAAAAGAGCTCCAAATGTTATGTAATTGCAGTGAGTTGGATCAGTCAGCTACAACCGAGGAGACGCCGGAGGGAGAGGAGCATCCACCTGCTGACTCTGAAAACAAGTGAGTACCTCTGCTCTCCATGCTCTCTGCTTGCCTCAAAGGTGCTGTTGCTGTGCCTTCTGGTATTTATTCCCACATGTTATGCCAAGTTCAGTTTTCAGTAGGTTATCCACAATGTTGCGAAATGATTCTCGTTAAAAACTACATGTCTGGAAGTTGCTGTCTTGAAACTGTTACTTGGTGTCCTGCAGGTTCTTAGGAATAATAATGGAATGATTAATAATCAGTTCTAATATGCTCTGGGTCTTGCACCTCCTCATTCCAAACCCCAGGCCATCTGTGCTCAAAACTATGTAGAATCTCCAAGGCAAAGGGACAAAATGCCAGTGGAAGGGCAACTTCTTAACACTTAGTTTTCCCAACCAACTTTTGGGCCTGTGTGACTAAGCCTGGAGAAGAAAGGTTATATCTCTTCCATCTCCAGCCTGTACTCAAGCAGTTTTTGGTTAACTGGAGCTCTTCCCTTTGCACTTGGACACCGTTGCAGTAAGAACCAGTGAGGGGATGAATGAAAGAGTAGCCAGAGAAGAAGATCCTGATTCTGAGTTGATGTAAAAACACAATACAAATTTTTATGGTAGTGTGGTACAACAAAATGCTGTGTTTTAATGAGTATTCAGAAACAAATGGCAAACACAGAGCCTTTAAATTCTTGTTTGCACAAGATTTTTAATGTGACTTTGGTATAGCTTGGTCTCCTCGCTAATGAATTTGGTGGTAAAAAAGGGCACAGTTTTGCCTAGAGGGTAACAAATGGATCTAGTGTAACTGCAGAAAGACTAAATGCTGTTACTTTTCCATGATTGTAGTCCAAAGTTAAGCTCATCTTGTATTCAGAAGTAGTATGAGGACTTTGAAGCACTTCCATACAGCATTGGGCAGAAAATGCAGCTAGTCCTTAAAGTATTCTGTGTTTTGGAAGTCTGGGTATATTAAACTTGCTGTGTTCAGCATTCCCTGGGTCTAGAAATAGCGTCCTGAAGCTTGGTGAGATACTGCCCCATCCCAGTACAGATCACTTACCTGCACATTCCTGCAGCCTCTTTGCATGGTGTTTTCTTCCTCAAACCTGCAGCAAATGGTCAGCTTGAAGCACAAGACATACGTTGGAATGATCAGTTGTCAAGAGGCTTTGCTATAGACAAGGGTTAGTTTTCAAGGTGGCTGGTTTGGGGTGAATCTCCACCCTCAGTGTTCTGCAGGGTTTGTAGGCTGTTTTACCGCAGTAAAATGTGCAGGAAGTATCTTTGCCTTGAACAAACCAAATTCTTCTGGTTATATCCCATGTAGAAATCATTTTGTCCTACAAACAGAATGAGAACAAATTAAAATACAGTAATTTTGATGTAAAACTGTGTTATTGCATCAAAATTAATGGCTACAAAATGACCTTTGAACAACTACAAAACCCCTTTGATGCTTTTTGCTGCACATACACAGCACAAATTTTCTATATATCACAAATTTAGTTGCATAAACCCACTGAGGAAGGACCAGAGAGAGGTTTGGCTGCCTGTATAGCTGGAACATGATGTGTTACTGAGCAGAGTAGTAGTTTTACTTCAAAATAGCTCTTTGGCAGAAGGTGATGTATCTCACAAGCCACCAGGTTCTATGCTGTTGTTTAAATAACTGTCTTTGGTTCAATAAAGGAATCCAAACTCGTTAAATTCTGTGTCTAAAAAGCCTGAAAATTGTGGGAAGAACAAGTTCTCACTTCTTTATCTTGAACCTTTGGGTGGAGAGATATGTCTCAAAAAGGGGGGAAGAAGCTCCAGACAAGTCATTGGAGGAGTTGGTTAGGTCTTCATATATGTGAAGAAAATAGCCGTTAATGGAGAAAATAGATGGCATGGTGGGTCAGTGTTCATTAAATCTTGCTGTGCTCACCATTTAGTTGCTCAGAGGTGTCTGGGTATCATTTTGGGGGGCATTCTGGCTAAAAGAGATGAACTTTTCTGTGGTGGATGAGATAGTTTTATATAGACAGGATGAGGGACTTGTGACTGTTCAACCTGAAGAAGAGAAGGTTGTGTGGAGACCTCAGAAGACCCTTCCAGGATCTGAAGGGGCTCCAGGGAAGCTGCAGAGGGACTCTTGGTTAGGAGCTGCAGTGACAGGACAAGAGGCAGTGGGTACAAATTGAAGGAGGGGAAATTTAGGTTAGATAATAGGCAGAAGTTTTTCCTCTGAGGGTGGTGAGACACTGGAGGCTGTGGCTGGCCCAACCCTGGCAGTGTTCGAAGTCAGGTTGGATGAAGCCTTGAGCAACCTGCTCTGGTGGGAGGTGTCCCTGCCCAGGGCAGGGGTTGGGACTGTGTGTTCTCTAAGCTCCATTCCAACCCCTTAACAGACTGATATATCACTTCTTCACTGCTAAATACTTGCCAGACTCTTCAGTGGTGCCAATTAGCCACTGTTGTTGAAAGTGTTGTACTTGGAGTATGAATTCTAAGTCATGATTGTAATATCCCTTAATTTCTTGCAGGGAGAATGAGGTTGAAGAAGTTAAGGAAGAAGGCCCTAAGGAGATGACCCTGGATGAGTGGAAAGCTATTCAAAGTAAGGATCGTGCAAAAGTGGAGTTCAACATCCGTAAGCCAAACGAAGGTGCTGATGGGCAGTGGAAAAAAGGATTTGTCCTTCACAAGTCAAAGAGTGAGGAGGTAAAGTGCTTTTCCATACTTGTAGTAGCCAGGGTTTTACTGTTGATACACTTCATGGAGGATAACTCAATTCTTTGACTTGTAGTTAAAAGTGGGAATGGCATTCCTCTGAGTAAAGCTGCAGTTGTGTAGGAGCCAAAGGGATTGTTCTGCCCAGGATTGACTTTAGTAGGTGAGCTCTCCCCTTAGGTGGGAGTTTAATCTGCTGTGACCTAGAGCTAAGCCTAGAATACTTCCACACCTGGGCAGGTAGCTGTCAGAACTGCCTGTGGGGGAGAATTGTAGAGAAAAGTGGTCAAGTTTGCTTTTTCAAACAAAATTATGTTTTTTAGCATCTCTGTTACGAGTACACAGGTTTCTGGTGCTTGCTGGCACATAAGATTGCTCATACCTCAGAGACCTTAATCTAAACTCTGTATCTTGAATTTGTACCATGTTTGTCTTCTGTTTGTAGTATTATATATATAGGGAAGCTTTTGGGGGACCACTTGAAATCCATTTGTTTGCTTCAGTAGCTGTAGAATTGTTCTGAAAGTGCAGTTTCTTAAGCATGCTCATTCCAGGCATTGCAAAATGTTAATTATTCTGGTCCAAGGAGATCTGTGCAAGGGAGGGAAGTGCTGAGAGCTCTGTTTTGTAATGCAGGGCTGCCTTAATCTTTGGTTTTAATCTTTTGTTTTTAACGCTCTGTAATATGGTAAGTAGCTCACTTAAGAGATTGGTGATTGCAACTTTGCATACCAGATGGTTCTTTCTGACTCCTTTGAAGTAACTAGATAACATGTAATACTCTGGTTGGGCTTGGAAAATGTATTCCTGCTTTTTCACACCTTGTCAGTGTTTCTCCTGGGAGCTGGGACATGACACAGCTGGGGAGGCACTAAGTTTCCTAATGAAATCTCCATGTCTAACCTCATTGAACTCAGAATGAGTTTGGCTTGCTCACAAATCAGGCTGTTTTCTTGTTCTTTAGGGGTTTGCATGTCTCTGTTTCCCTTATGGTGTTGACTGAAATGCTCATTAAATGCTTCTTTTTCTGGCTTGGGTAGGAGAACTTGAGTTATACTCTCTTAGTACACAGCAATATTAAGTGTATTTAAACACAAGTATTTCTGTCCTTTACCAACATGTGCTAAACCTGTAGCCCTTCAAATCCCCAGAATATCTCCGAGTCAGATGTATTTGCCATTTAGGAAGCTGAGGACAGGCTTTTTTAGCACATGAGAATGTATGATAGTGCAAGGTGATGGTACTAGTGAGTAATTTAGAGGCTAAAGATCCATAGTGCACTTTCCATTTGGAAAATGAATCAGTAGTTAAAGAAACTCAACCAAAACCAAGCAAAAATACCCAATAAACAACCAAAAATCCAAACCAAACCGATGAGAATAATCAAATTACTTTCATGAAAGAACTGATATATAATTAGTAGATTGTTCTGTTTGATGTAAATTTCTCTTCAGAGAGCTAAGTTGGGTATTTTTAGCACTGTCACATAAGAAGTTAACAGCCTCTTGCTACATAGCATGAAATAGAGGTATTAGCAGTCTGCCTTTAAATTTAGCTGCTTTTAGCCTGCTTTATTGGATGTCCAGCAGATGTGTCTCCCCTTATGCATTGTTCCCTGATGCTGTGGGAAGCAGTGTGGGGATTTTCTCTCAGGATTAGAGCAGAACAGCTTTGTAGTATTAGGAAAGCCTTTGCTGCAGCTCCTTTGGGAGCATGTTAGAAGGTGGAGTATTGATAAAACCCTACCAGTCACCTGCTGTTTCATCTGCTTGTCCTCTTGGACATCCTTAGGAGTCATGGAATGAAGGCTGCTGTAAGGTTTCTGTGGTTCTCATTGATAAGAAGGAGGTTGATATGTGCAAATGACTTGGTTTATAGGTAAATTCTGTGCTTCAGTCCCAAATCTTCTGTGCTTTTCTGTCTCAAAAGTCCACAATATGCCCCAATAGATCTTCTCAGAAGTACTGTGATGAGCATCTGCATTCCTGTAGCTTGGGAACTACTGGGATGCCCTGGGAGTCTGTGGAAAAAGGGAGTATGAGCATCTGGTGCTGTTCATCTGCTTTAGTCTTGGGAAAGAGCTGCCTTTCTCCTCCTTGTGCTCCTCACCAAGGGGTGAACCCTGTCATGTGTCTTTAGTCTTCTTGCTGTGCAGTTACCAAGTGATACTTTGTATAAGATGACTCTTAAATTCTGCCTCAGTTTCCTGCTGGTTTAATCTGAAATCCGTGTGTTTGGCAGCTCTGGTCTGATGAGGCTCTTTGCAGGAGATTGGGTTATGCCAGAAACCAGGGATCCTCTTCTTTCCTTCTCTGCAGCTGCTTTAGTGCCTTAAGTTCTATAAAAATCAGGAAGGAGTTGCAGTGTGGAAAGATCTTAAATTCATTCCAAAAGTTGGGTATAGGACTCTTGGATAAGACTTGGGATCAGTTTCTGCTCTCTGTACTGTGCTGTGCCTCTTCCCTGTGCCTTCAAACATTCTCACTGATCCAGTCGCTTCCCTAGAGATTGCAGTGGGAGACTTCAGAAATGTCTTGGAAAAGAACAGCTCTTCTCCTCAAAACTGGGAGCAATGGCTCCTGAATGGAGGCTGTGCAAGAAGTTTTGCCATTAACAGGGAATTTCCCATCCCACTCTTCTCTGCCCATCTGTGTGCAGCGTTCCTGGTGTGTGGCAGTGCTCAGCCTATTCTGCATGTGTGCTCTCTGTCAAGGCTTCAGCAGCTTCTGGTGAACCTCTTTGGTGTCCATCTGAGCTTCCTCTTGTCTCCACATCTGTGGCACAGTCCATGCTCTAACCTCTCTGGCTGCACAGCTGTCACCTCATCCCTTTGCTACTTCATGTGCTCAGTGCCACCTGTAGTCAGTTCATGTGACCTGATGACCTGTTGTTTCTGTATGTAGTTGAGTCTCATTTCTTCCTTTTGTTTTCTCCCTTTGTTCCCTTTGTCACTTTGGCGTGGACACAACTTGCACCAGACAAAGGCGATGACAGAAATGCAGGGGAGTCTCCTGGATTCAAATGAGGTACTGACCCTTTCTATCTACCTGCTGATCCCTGGGGGTGAGCATGAGCCCCTTCTGCAGTGAGGGGTGGATGGTAAAACCTCACCAAAACACAGAATGCAGCTAGATTCAATCTGGAGCTCTTCTGTCCGTGCCTGTTGTCTCACTGTGCACCACACAGACCCTTCGTCATCAGTCCCTTTGCTCCTCGTCCACCTGATTTCAAACCTTACCATAAATGCATCCATCATTTTTTGTTGCTGTTTTTCCATCTCTCGCTCTACTTTGATCCTCTTAGTAGTTTATTCTTCCCCAAGGCCTTTAAGTGCAGCACTGCCTTCAACAAGTGAGGAGTTATTAAATCACAGCACTGTTCAGAGCTGCCAATACATAGAGATTAAATGCTTCCAAGGATTATTCAGGATAAACAATTTGGTTTGTCTGACTGTTGTCACCTAAGTGATGGAAGAGGCTGAGGAGAATGTGCTGAGTCTTTTGTTGGTGTTTTAAATGAGCTTTAGTTAATTTGGACAGAGAAATCATCAGGTTACAGATGGAATTTGCCATTTGTTGGTTCACTGGTTTAAACCACTTTTTGGTTTAAACGTGAGTGTGAAAATACACTGGTTTTGGTGGACTTTTTACCAATGTTTTGGTAAACTTCTTCCTTTTCGGACAATAGCAATGTAAGGAAAGGAAATAGACAGAATTATTGTGTAAATCCACTAATATTGTCACTTAAAGGCAATGTCACATGGCTACCAGTGGTTGGAAATAGAATCTCAGTACCCTGCAGGGGTTAAAACTGTAGATAAAATACTAAGCAGTAATAAAACCCTAAGCAAGGGCATTGAGTAGTGTTTTACAGTGTGTTGTTACACTTAGGTTTGAGTAGTGCCTTGTATAAATACTTCCGTTTGTTGCTGGTTTTCCATCTCTCCCTGTCTCTTTTGACCCTCTGAGTAGTTTAGTCTTACTTTTGGACAGCCTACCCCAAGGCCCTTAAGTGCAGCACTGCGTTCAGGAAGTAAGGAGTTTGTAAATCACAGCCCTGTTGGGAGCTGCCAGTACATAGAGGTTAAATGCTTCCAGGGATTATTCAGGATATTTGTTTGGTGTGTCTGTTGTCAGCTGAAGAGATGGAAGAGGCTGAGGAGAATGTGCCAAGTCTTTTGTTGGTGTTTTTGAATGAGCTTTAATTACTTTGAATAGAGAAATCATCAGGTCACATATAGTATTTGTTATTTTTTGGTTCAGTAATAAAACTAAGGTTGTGAAAATACACTGATTTTAGTGGACTATTTACCAGTGTTTTGGTTAACTT